CCCGCATATATATCGCCGACAATTGAAATTGCTTGTTCGCTCGCGAATCCGAATCCGAATCGCTGGATCCGCTGCCAAAACGCGGCTGACATTGCCGGACTGCCTGCCAGGGCAATAAGAATGAATGTTAGTAAATAAATAAATATTGTAAACAAATGTTCGTTTTTTGCTGGCTTGGCATATGTACAGCTGGCTGTTGCTATACTCGCTGTATTTGCTGTTGCAACAAATGAGCTTGTCAAGTTAAATGGCACGCACCAAATGCTGTCAGCGAGGTTGCAAGCGCAAATACAAATAGAAGTACACAGATACCACCGCACACTGGACTGCCATTGCCGCCATTTTGTCTGGCTGCACTGAGTAAATTGTTGCAATTGCTGACTGTAAATAAACCGAGCACAATGTGGCACAACACGGCGTATTAGTAATCTAGTTTATTTCTGTATATGGAAGGCAGCAGCGCAGCAGGGGAAGTTAAGGGGTAAATGTGAGCGGAAAAGAGAGCGAGAATGGAGGGTTGGCGCTGGCACAAAGTAGGAAAACTTTGATTTTCTCTTTGACCAACTAATAAGTTGGGTTTAAGTTTAGAACTGGAAGCTCTATTTATAAGTGAAATAACGTTGTGGGAAACTTGACGGAAGTATTGATTATTTTAAGTCTCTTAGTCCTTTAGTGAACTGACTGTAACATGAAATACAAATTGCAAAACGAGCTTGGTAGTGAACATTTTTAAAAGGTTTAAAAGACTACTTTTATAAGGCATTTAAAAATATGAATATTTAAAAACTACCCAGATGATGAGCAACCTTGTTGGGTATTAAGATTTATTTGGTGTAATTAGAGAGAACTTAATCCGAACTATAAAGTTTAATATCTTTGTTTAAAGTAGCAAATCGTATAATAAAGGTGTCACAAGCGAACTAATAAGATTTAACTTAATATATGGTAAGAACGGGAGATTATTTACTAAAAACTTTATTATAAATATAATAATATCTTGTGAAATAGTCACACAAGTTTGATTGCATTGATAGCTTTCCCTCCCTGTTTCAATGGCCCTCCACATTAGAGCATTTCATTGCCCCTCAAAAAAACCCCAATAATCGCCAAAGTACACGCCGTTTAGTCTGGCACAACCATTATGGCAAGATACGAGGGGAATTGTCTATTTTTAATATCTTATCGGAGGAATTTTTATTAGCCGTGTATTGTTCAGCAAATATTAATTAGTTTCTGTGATTGTACAACAAAAAGGGAAATTGCTCTGCTGCCTTTTGAGTGTGTGCAATCGTGTTTGCATTGCGTGTCATGGCGAAATTATCATTGGTTGTGTGACGCAGAAGACTGAAGCCCCATCCCCATCTCCACTCCGATCTCCATCCCTTGGCCGGATTCCCTTTGAATCGTTTGGGGGGCTGGCGAAATTGCAATCGACAGACGCTGCGATGACGCATGCTTTTTCCCGGCGCTCTGTATGTGCGTGTGGGCCTAGACATATGGCGACAAAGAGGCTGACGTCATGAGCTATCCATCTAACGGGGAAATGGAAATGAAAATGGCAAATGGGAAATGGAAAACAGAGGCTGGCAGACGGAGAAACCACCCCCGAATGGGAGACAGGACTTTGGACTTCGGTAGATACTCTGGTTAGTAGTGGGCACTCTTGGGCTCTTGTTTTGGCCCACTTTGCACAGCTGCAACATCTCGCGTACGGCAGCAACACCATATCACAGACACAGCAGCAACATGCCCCACATCCCCAGATCCCCACATCCCACGCAGGCAATTAAGAACGCGACTTGGCTATTGGGTTACACTTAAACTTCACTCCATTCGCTCGGTTTCGTTTTGTAGTCAGCATTTAAAATTATTTATTAGAAGCAACAGTCGGACAGGCGGTGTCACAAAGGGGGGACTTTAACGCGAGGGGGGGGCGTATCAAATGTTTAGCTTTTTGCTTCTCAGTCTTTTCATTTTTGTTTCTTTTGGTTTGTTTCTCGCTCTTTGGTCTTCTGTTTTGGGTTTTGCCAAAACGAAACGAGCCAAGCCGGCTTGTTAAAAAAAGGGGGGCTTAAAAGGGGGCCTCAAGGGGGGCGTACATGGGTGGCGAGGGGTATCTCCTATATCGTCTGGCGCTTGGCGACAGCAATTTACCTTTAAGCGAATGCAAAAGTATGCGGATAGCCGAAGAAAAAGTAGTCGCAGCCGCACAATTACCCCACTACGAGAAGAATTCTCCGGAGAACGGGAATCGGGAATGGGGAGTTGGTTATCGGGGCTCTACGGCTGGACCATCTCTATAAATAAGCCAGAAGTCGCTGGCCGAACCAGCTGAACCATAAATCATAGGCAGACGCGCGAGTGTCGAGTTATTATGCGATCATATTTTAATTGCCGGATTATTATTATGCAGGCAGTGGCCTCTCTACTCTCCCTCCCCCTCGGCAGCATAATCAAGTCCGGCAAACAAACAAAACACCTGCAAAGTCACCAGTTGCAGTTGCCGTTTGGCTCTCCAGGTGAGTGTGTGCGGATTGGAGATCGCTCGGCTGCAGCTGGAGATGGGGATGGAGTGAGTGGAGCAGACCTGAAGCCCCGCCGCAGATTGCAGACCGCAGATCGCAGACCGCCTGGCTCTGTGCTTGGACAGGTGCGTGAACGTGGCCAGCGGGAGCGAGGGAGAGTTGCAGCCACGAATCACAACCCAAGGTAATGAACTACCGACCACGGAATGCCCTGGAAAATGAGAAGGATCAGGAGTATCCTAAAATCAAGTCAGAATCCTTCAGTTCTGGGATTCGGAGAGACATCTTAAAAGCAATATTTACTCAAAGTATTTCAATTATCACAAATATTTAAATTATTTTAAATATTATTTGAGTAGTTTTTTGTCAAAGTTTAGAAAAGTCTATACCAAGTTTTGATTTATCTATCTAAGCTTGAAATATATTTTCTAGAATTACTACTATAAGACTGTAAGGATAGTTTTCTAAACATTTGATTTACATTTTGTTGAATATTTAAACCTTCTATCAAAAGGATTTCCCAGTTGAAGACTTTTCTTTAAACCACTTTCATTCAAGACTTCCCCAACTCACCAGTTTATATCCCCCGCACAATTGCCCATCCTCAGTGCTAAGCAAACAACATCATCCACTTCAATTACCCTTGATCCAAGGGTATAAACACATAGTTTTTTGAAACCGAATTCACATGCAGTTCGTAGTTGTAGTTGCAGTTGCAGTTGTTATTGTTGCCGATGTTGTTGATGTTGCTCGGTGGGCAGAAGGGGCAAACGAGTTGGCCCCGCCGCCTATGTACGATGTGAGTATGTGAGTTGTCAGTTGGCAAAACTGGTATGGTTGCATTTTTATTATAAAGCGAACAGAGACAGCAACAACAAAAAGCGACACCTAGGCAGTACGGGAAAGTCCGTCCGTTTGTCTTTGCCACTGCAAATGGGGATCAGAGGATCGGGGACTGGAGGATTGGGGGATTGGGGGATTGGAGGATCGGGGACCTGGAATGGGGCTGGGACTGTGACTGGGACTGTCATCCGTGGCCTGGTGTGTCGCCTGTTTAGCCGAGTATTCGAACTGCTAGTCAGACGTTTGTTCTATGGACATTTCATGAACATGCCGGCGCACATTCATATTAACCCATGCAGCTTTGGCTTATTCCCTGCCCCGCCCACAAACGGATCGCCCCTGCAAAGCGCAGTTATTACCAGCATTATTTGCACAGAAAGAAATATTACCTTTTATTTATAATATATCATTAAAGTATCAAGAAGTTATTAAGGAACTTTATGATACAAAGGAAATCGAAGCTTAGGAAATTGAGCATTTAGTAGTTTTAGAAGCCAATACACGATAGTTTTTAAGAAGGCGTTATTCTTTTCACAATCTGAAAAGGTTAATATTGAATCATATTTCTTTTAGTGCACACTTTATTGGCTCTTCTGTTTGCGTTTCGGCTTGTGTCTTCATTGCCCCAGGAGTCGTAATTTGTATTTGCACGGTCCTTCTGGCAGTCTGTCCTTGTCCGCCTAATGAGCCAGTTCATCGTATTCCCTATTTTTGCCCCTGTACCCTAGTATAACACTTTTTATGGCTTTGGGAGGCTTTGGTAATACAGGAAATTGCCAGCGATTAGCTTAGTGACAATTCAAGCTGCAATTGAAGTTGCAGTTGCAATGGCAGCTGCAGCTGCTGCTGTGATTTATCAGTTGTGCCTGACAGTTGGCCAGTTTACCTATCTATATATCACCTGCGGGATATTTGACACATCGTTACTAATTGGTTAAACAATGTGTCTCACCGGTGATTCATGCCCGGCAACAGATAAAGTGTTGTGTGCATACAAGTATCCAATCTAAGGCACTTTGTTTAATCACTCACTTAGTTGGTAGCCGTTAAGCGGCTTAACTTCACTCCGTATCCGAATTACTTAGTCTACGCCTCAATAGATTTTCAAAATTTATTGCGCCCCGAATTGTTGCCAGGCAATTAAATCCAAGTGGGAATTTCCGCCTTACAAAACGCCATGCAAATGTTCTTTATTAATTGCTCGCCAGACAATCAAACATATGCTAGCTTATTCGTAATTTGATCAGCTTTCGAGTTTGATTTTGAAAATTCCTAATGCTTGGCAGCAATAAATTTTAAAAAAATAAAAAAAAGAGAGAAGCGCGCCGAGAGCGAGTGCCGAATGTGATAATAGAATCCAAACAATTAAACAATTTTCGCAAAATGTTGAAACAACAAAGGCAGATAGCACACACGTTCGCAGATACACACAGATAAGTGAAATGTTTATATGTTTCGCATTATAATAAAACAAAATCGCACTTGGCAATATAGCGACAAAGAGCGGGAAAAACAAAAACAAATCGGTAAATCGGGGAATATGGGAGCAGGGATTCGGGGAACCGGGGAGTCGGAGAATCAGGGAGAGGCAGAGATTAATTACAAAGGAAAAAGTAAAGACGCAAAGTTTACCCGTAATTACACTTCCAGATTTCCAGATGAGGTGGAGCTTGTGGTGGCAAGAAATCGGCGGAATCGAAAATTAATTATGCTTGACATGTTGCCAGCGATCATCAGTGTTGTTCCTGCTGTTGTTGTTGTCGTCTAGTTGTTGTTGTTGTCGCTGCTATTCGGACCGATATGAATCGCATTTTCAATTGCCTGGGCTTGGGTCTATTTTTTCGTATTTATTTTTATTTTTTAACGCGAAAAAGAGAAGGCACACTTAGAACTCACTGGCGCATAATTTATTTGAGCCGGCGCGCGCCTTTCATTTCAATTTCCATTTCAATTTCAATTTGATTGCGAGTACTTCGATTCGTTTTGCCACAGATTACGCATACGCCACGTTGCGCGCACCCGCCGCCACTGTCAAAGGTTCAATTTCGCGCTGTGCCGCAATTGCAATTTGCAATTTGCATTCAATTCAATTCAATACAATGGAACTCAATGGAATTGCGCGCCAATTCACCGGACATAGCACACGGGAAAAGCGGTTCCCCAGCAAGTGGAAAACGACGCATTAGCACACGCAGAAAATCAGAAAATCAGGCTAAGCCCCGCATTAAGCTCTCGTCGTCGTCGTCGCGTTGATAACAAATTTCGTGTACATATGCTGCTTTGTATTTCATCTACTTTCAGACGTATTTCACGAGTGTTTCGATTGAAATGACGCTCTACCAACGATCGACGTCTGGGTGACTCGGCGAACGTGAAAAACGCGCGCGAGTTTTCCCCTTTTTTGTGAAGAGGGATTTTCCTGGCCAGCAATTTTCGAAATTTCGAGCCACTCTCGAGCGTTTTTGAAAATAGCACCGCTCGCGCCGGCAGCTGAAAAGTAACTGAGAGGAAACGCTGCGAAAAACTGAGAAAACGTTCGCCTTCGCTCGGCTTTCGGCCTTCGTGTCGTCGAGCCGTCGAACCGAAGTGAAGGCAGCGCAGCAGCAGAGGATTGGGGCCTTCTTGGCTTCACTTTTTGGGGGCTCGCACTTTGCTCCGCTTTTTCTGCTCGGAACGGAACCGAGCAGCCGAGGGGCAAGTGGTTCGAAGGCTATTGCCTAAAGGGGTTGAGGGCTGCAGACAAACGCTTGACGCCTGGCGCTAATTAACTGCACCGAAGAAAATAGCGGGTAACTACTTTACTTCATCATTTACTTAAAAAGGCATATTGACTTCTGGGCTCTATTTTTCCAATCTTAATATTTTTAAAAGAAAACACATTTTTTATTGTACTTAAGGCTAACCAATTATTGAAACAATTTTACAAAAACTACCTATTTTCAAAGATCATTTATTTCTTAGAGACCAATTAAATGTTTTTAATTTAAATGGATAAACTAAGTATTAGCTGATTGGATTATTTATGTTTAGAATTCAACCGAAAAATTATCATTACGGACCAAAGTGTATTCTTAGAAATTCCATTTTTTCATAAAAGCTCAAATTCGAACTATTAGAAATTTATAATCAAATAATGTGATTATTTTCAACGTTTTTTACATGCTTTTTATATGTTCAGAAATAAAGATTAGAACTTAGAGAAGCCTTAGCCATAACAAAGAAATATTTAGATAAATATAGATATTTTTCTACGTGTCTTAGTTTTAGCGGCAATCATATTTCAGCGACTTCAAAGGCGCAGTCCTCAAAAGTTGCAATTGAAATCGAATTTCAATCTACATTCACACATTCCTCGGCGAAATGAACACCTTACCGTTGGCGAAGTGTTAACAAGGCGAACATGAGAAGAGCCCCAGCGCATCAACACACCTTAGTAATAAGCAAAGCAAAGCAAAGCGACTCAATTCAATACCATTCCATTCAATTCGATTCGATTCCGGGAACTTTTGCCAATTAGAATTTGTCAACTGGCATTCCGCGCTGTCTGCCTCGACTTCTTTGTTTTGACAGCTCCGCGTGCCCAGGGATTCACAGAGGTATTTTCCCGTCTGATAACAACATTCCCTGGCCGTAGTATCGATTAGATTATTTACCACTCGAATCATGAATGAATTGAAGTTCAAATGTGGGCGAACAAGGCTGATTAGATCTGTGGGTGTCAGGTGAAATTGGCAGACTTTGGAACGAAGAAAGTCAGGTGAATTTTACACTTATGGTGTTTACATACAAATCTAAGCGTGTCATATAAGGCAAGTAGTTTTTATAGTAATTTCACAATCCAAACTAATAACCATGATTCATTTTCAACGCCCAAAGTCTTAAGCTAGGTATTTCCGTTAGAGATTAAGTATAATAAAAAGATAAATACAAATTCCTCGGGAAAGTTCTTTAATTTCGATTTCCGGGGAACCTTAAGTACTCTTAATTTCTATAAAGATTTTGAGATATTGAAAATAATCGTATCAGATTCAATAGATCTGTCATGTTAAATTAGGCGAATTGAACGTGCTTTTGATTTCTCATAAATGTAATGATATTTGAGTTTGGTAAATAACTAAAATAAATCTTCTCACAATAAAAACCAGCCATTAACTGTCTAAAGAACTCCATAATATTCTTCATATTTTCTATGGCAATTTTTCTGCAAATCGGAAGCCATTTCTTTCCCACCATGAATGAGTCCATTCATTATAATCGCCAAAGCTGCCGTGACTGCAAGTTGCATTTGCAATCCGAAATGTGTCTTATGGCATTTGTCTCGAATGCGATAATAGCACTTAAGGCTCTTAAATGCATTCTGCAGATGAGACAGCATACAAATGGTGCTGAGAGATCCGAGGCCCTGGGATAATTCACACTTAACCCGCGGCCAAATCAAACTGCCAGGCATTTGACATTTATGCGATGGTTTTTAGTTGGTTTTTTTCATTTCGGAAAAGCTGCCGCGGCACGCTAGGAACATGCCAGAGCTTTGCAGCTGAGCGTGGAGATGATTTATGCACTCATTGTATCTGTAGTTGTGGCTGGAAAATTGCAGTTATCACGAACGAAACTCGGCTTGGATTATGGTTTGGTTTTGGATTTGCCTTTGGTTTCGGCTCTGCAGTTTTGAGGCTTAGAGCTTGAGTTTCCCAGGCCGCGGATTTTGTCACTGGAGGTTGCCCAGTCATTATTTATGAGGCGAACGGTGCAATATGCAGCCAGGTGGGAACCGTGACGCAGTCTGTAAAATTAAATAATTGCGTTTCATTAAATGCCGTTTTCTATTTGCATAGGTATAGTATAGGTATGAGCTCTCCTCTCTTGCAAACAAACAAACAAAGTGCAAAGCAATTTGGCATAAACGTCATTGGGTCGAGTGGGCGTTGGGCGGTGGTGGAAATCTGAGAATCCCGCCCCACAATTTTCCACGCCACTTGAGCGTAATTAAGCGTTGAGCTTCTAAGCTCTGTGCAAATAAGAAACCCGTCGAGCGTCTCCACTTCAGCCCCACCCCCTTTCTGCCCCGATTATCCCCAGTCCATATGCTATATATACAATGTCGAGCAGTTTGCGCATCGAATCGATGCTATTTTGATACTGGCAAATATTTGCAATTGGCCAATATGTGACTCGGTCGCTATTGTGCTATTGTGGCTATTTCTGGAGGCGAATCAGGTGAGGATAATCCCCATTTAAATAACCCCAGCTCGGCTGGAGTTGTGAAATAGTTTGCAGCCAGTCAGAGAGTCAACAATCTAGGGGGGATCTGGTCGATCTGGGGACTCTGGGCATTTTCCATAAGGTTACCACGCGCACAACAAAAACAAACAGCCTGCTTACAAACAAGCTGCTCAAATTTCCCTAATGGCGCAAAGTTCATTTGCCCCATTGAAAGCGATATGTATATAGGGTCCAAAGCACTCGAAGTTTGGCCCCAAGGAGCAAAAACAGGAGGGGATGACGGCGGACAAAGATCAAGTGCTGCACAGGAAAAAGAGGTATATCAACTTATCTAATTCGAGTTTTTAAACTATGTATCATCATTTATTCAAAAATTACAACATTTTTCCTAACAGAGAAAACTTGAGATCATATTCTTAAAATTATTGAAGGGTATCAAAAATTTGTTTAAAATGTACTTAATTTAAAATGTTATAAAAATTTTTAAGGGATTTCAAACTCCTATTATCTGGATTAACTTAACCATTTACTCTTTTAATAAAAAGACAAGACAGGCCAAACTTTATTAACTTAAAGTTTAAATTCTCAAAATCCATTTTTTTTTAATTTAGATTTTTTTTAATCAAATAGATTGATAGATATTGTGACTATCAAAGCAAACCAAAGATAATTAAGTGATCTGAAAATGTATTATTAAATATGGTTATGTTATAACATCAGGTTCAAGGTGATCTTATTTTTGTCCGTGTGCTGCCCCTCCTTACCCCTTCCAAACCCCCCTCCCCCCTGGATGTTTACACAGGCGGCACGACACTCAGACTGTAATTAGGTGTATCCAGTGGACCCACTGCGACATACGAGTATCAACAACACATTGTCAACTTGTGGCCGGGCTAATTGAAAAGCTCTTCTCCACATGTCCACTTGTCTATATAACAATAAAGTGGGCGGTGGGCGTGGCCGGGGTCAGTGCATTGCCTATTCAAAGGGGAATGGCAGGGGGCGTGGCAATTGTTTAGTATTACTTACCGTTGCCTGGGCCAACGCTCCACAAAACGCAATTTGTAAACATTTTTATAAGCGTTCTTCATATTACTTTTTTCATTAACCCTGTATTTAGCAAGGTTTTTTAATTAAAATTCCATTACTTACCAAATTTATCTTTCACCCAAATTTCAACTAGTTTGAAATGATTTCTGCATCACTTGAATCCTAGTCTAACTGTGATATAAGAACGATTTTGTTTAAATGATTTAAACCCCCCATACGATCCCACATTCTTAAAGATCATAGTGACTCTAAAACTGTAATTTTGCTGCAGTAGGAAAACAATTATTAAATCTTTGATCTTTCCAAGCAATATTCAATACTTTGGGGAAATAATGTTTTAGTTTTTATAACTGACTAATTAAAATAAACTTACAAAGTTAATAAAGTGGCTATAGAACTATAAAAAATCTAAAAGTTCTAGTCCTAAAATGAAAGCTGTTTAATATTGTTACTAATTAAACTTAAGAAAAACATAAACCAAAACCTAAATTTGGGCATGGCTAATTGACGCACAAGAACCGGCCAATCATGACATTTGCATGCTATTCGCAACACTCACCCATTTCAAGATAAAACCCAACTTGATCTTAATTGAGAGCCTAATTAAAACGCATCGAATTACAGGCGACCCCGGCCATGCAATTAAAATCGAACAACTCGCCGGCTGATGCGTCGCCGCTGATTATTTCGGAAATGCCAATCAGATGAAAGGGCCAGCAGAGCAAATGTTTTCCGAACTGAACCGCGCCGATCCTCCGCCCCTTGGCCACCCCATCCCATCCCCCCATTCCCATCCGACTGCCCGGTTTGTGCGTTCTCCGTCTACTTACTCTGGCGTCTGGGCGTTTCGCCGGTGAGTCAACAGCGTCAACAAAGCGGGATGTCGCCGGCGTTGTGCTTCCTCCGCGCTCTGCTTTTGTTGACCAATCTCTGTCACGCCGAAAATGTTCGCGAGATCAAAGTACAAGTGGGCCAATTATACTGCCAAGAAGTGCCATGACTATATAGGCGGCATACACGGGGCGGGCTGATTAAAATCGTTAGTTATATTGGCAAACAATTTGTCTATGCGGCCTATACAATTACACAGATGTAGAGTTGTATGAGGGACCATGTACATTGGTAACTAAGACTAAACAATGCAACTTAGGCTACGCAAAGGAGTGGGGTGGCAACAATCTTTACACTTATCAACTAGGGTACGTAATGCACTAATCTGAGTCTCGATCTGGATCCGAATCTAAACGAAGAGAATCGAATCGGATCCGCAGTCGTTGCTTATTGCTAGTGTCATAAGCCGTACTTAAGGTATAACAAGGACTTAACGTGATCTACTGTACACCAGGCGCCGCTGTGCCGCCTTAACCATCACCAGTCGTCCCTGGGCAGCCGGTAGGTGGTGTTGTCGCTGCGCACGATGTGGATACCGGCTCCGTAGTAGGGTATCACATAGGCGGAGCCATCCGCCGGGCCCACAACCTGCAGGGCAATCAGCACGATGTCGATCAGCTGGCCCAGGAACATGCCGCCGAGGGTGCAGAACTTGAGCAGCCCGATGCCCGGGTAGCCCAGGTAGAATCGGTCCACGCCGAACATGCCCAGGAAGACGGAGAGCAGCAGAGTGGTGTCCAGGTGATAGCCGTTTCTGTGGAGATATGTTTTTATTAGTGGATTAATTTAAGGAGATAGTGTAGCTCCACCCACGTCCACTTGCAGGGCACTTCGCGGCTGAAGGTGGCGTTGCCCGTCTCCGTGCAGTTGATCTCGTTGGCGGCGATGCACCAGACGCGGGCGCGTCCCTCCTTGGTGCATCCGGCCAGCTGCTGCGTCCGCGGATCGATCTGGCCCCGCGCCGGATCCGGGCACATGAACTGGCCCATCATTTGCAGCTCGTTGCAGTCGACATTGATCTGGTGGGTTCCCTTGGCGCAGAAGAGGAGGAGGAGGAGGAGCAGCGGCGGCAGCGGATGCACTGGGAACATGGGTGGTGTCGTCTTTGGCCTCTTCGGTTGGCTGCGAGGTGGTGGCGGTTTTGGCGTTTGGCCCTTGGACACGGGAACTATTAGTATTCGTTTGCGATTCGATGTTTTGTTTATTGCAGTTCACGGGGGAAGGCTCCAAAAGTGTTGTTGTTTGGACTCATTGGCATTTGGGAGGGGGGCGTTTGGTATCGATAGGCGGTATGCTATCGGTTTTTCGCTGGGATTTTCAGTATTTATATACTAGTGTACTAAAATATACTGCAAATGTAAAGTCTCAATATAACAGTTCTCCATACTGTAATTAGCAGTTACAACTTTGATTATCGATTACTGCATCTAATTGGCGGAATATTTAAAATGAAATGCAAAACAAGAAAATTGTTCATTGAAAAAGTCCCGCCTGTTTATTAAATACATATTTCTTACAATTAAGTAAAACCTGGACATTTTTGAGATTGGCTATAGTTTCTGGGGTTAGAGCTTCTTGAAAGGTTATTGCCACTTTGGAGGTCTGTCCAAAAGTACGGTCTATCCGACCTTTTTCCCCAGACGACAAGTCCACTAGCTTGCCCACGTACAGATCACGTTTGGCCTCCTTTTTGAATAGGTTCTGAACAATAACCTCGTTAGCATTGACCACTCGCTGAATGCTTCCCACTTTCTGTTTACGCTTGAAGATGCGTAGTTTTGGCAGCTCTTCCTCGATGTAGTTGGAGCTCTGGCTTTGCCAGGCGATGCGTCCCCAAAAGGCCAATCGACAGCTGCTACTGTGGACATCCATGTCGAGTTTGGAGGCAATCAGCGTAGACTTTGGCGGGGTCAAAACGGGAGATTCAAACTGCAAAAGGGCGTATATGACATCTGTAGGTTGAAGCTCCGCCGGCTGCACTTCCTCCACATACTCGTACTCTTTGTCCAGATGGAATTCGGGTGATGTACCTTCCGCATCCCGAAACAAAGTTACGTTGGCCATCACCGTGTCGTGACCCACAGAGATGTGCAGCTTGCTCTTCAATTTTATCGACTGTTTGTAGTAGCGAATTGGTTTGAGCTGCAGGCACACGGCGTATATGGGTTTCAGGTATCCCGGCTGAGCAATGACACCGCGTTCCAGCAGCTTGGCATTAAACTGGGTCACACAAAGTCCAATTCTGTCGCCCATGGATGCGCTGGTCACGTTCTGGCGGAACATTTGCATGGACTTTACCTTTCTTAGCTCTCCAAGAGCCGGTAGCTCTATGACATCGTTCACCTGAACCTTTCCCTGGTGAAGGGTGCCTGTGCAAACGGTTCCCTGACCTTTTATTCCGAAACAGTGATCGACGTACATGAGCAAGGGATCGGTTAAGTTTCTTTGTGGCTGGAAATAGGCTTCCTTCAGAGCGCTTTGCAGTTCAGGGATGTGGGTTCCATCGAGGGCAGACACAGCATATATGGGCACATGACCACCAAAGCTGGTGGCTTCCAAAGTCTTTAAAAGCCGCAAGCGGAGCTTCTCCAGCTTTGATTCTCTTTGATCCGCTGAATAAACATCTATTTTGTTGATTACGACAATCAGCTTTTTCTGCAGCAACTCCCCGATAATTAGGCACTCCGCCGTCTGGGTTTGGATACCTTTTTGAGCGTCCACAACAAGGAGCATAAGATCTATGATCTGGGCACCTGCAATGGAAAGGAAGGTTATTTAACTTATTTGAAGGAAATTAATCCATATTATTACCTCCTATGATAGTGCGTATGAGACTTGCATGGCCGGGACAGTCCACAAAGGTAAACTGGAGATCTTCTCCCACCAAAAGGCCACTAAAGCCCAAATCCAAAGTGATTCCTCGTTCCACCGACTGGGGATTCTTGTCAAAGGCTGCCGTGCTGGAAATGGAGCTCAGCGCTTTTGCCAAAGTAGTCTTTCCGCTGTCCACATGTCCGAGCAGGCCAATATTGAAGTTTATGGTCATTTTGTGCTTATAATTAATGGGATAAACTATAAAAATCCGGGAAATATAAAAGAAAACAAAACTTTAAACAATTGAGATGGTACACACTCGATAGTTAGGAAATTGATAACAATAACAAACAGTACTGTTAATCATTAACAGCGATGTTATCTAGCAGTAAAACTGTTCTAAAGATTTTAACTGTATTTTAAATTAAGTTAAACATGAAAATAATTTAATACTTAAAGTAATAATTTAATGTCTAGATAGTAAATTATTTTTTCATATTTCTTTAACATAAGACTGAGCCACAGCTTCTATCGATAGCCCATGTTAAGCACGATCACAAGTGATCTAAAACTTGCTATCAGATTACTAATTCCAGTTCTAACATCTGTAGAGACAGTCTAAATTTGTTGTGGTATCTTAAGTTTTTAATCTGTGTTTACCAGCTTCTTATCACCGTTATAAGGCAGTAAAAACCAAATATTCGATTAAATTTTGACCTAGGATCCAGCGAGCGATTACAGAGATAACGGTTGCACCACCGCAAAACGCACTCGAAAACCTCACATAGGCCCTTAAACTCAACCAACTAAAAGCACTCGTATCGAATCGAAAGAGCGAAGTTTAAAAGTTTAATGACCGTTTTCACTTTTATTCACTGAGAACGGCGGTTCGGAGCTCAGTAAGCGATCGATTCTCTTGGCGCGCAGTTCGGAGCTCCCTAAATCTCGTCGCAATGGCCAGTTCCACTTCCGTAATCCCCAATTCCGTAATCCCCACAACCGTAAATCCCGATCTTCAGAAGGAACGCGATGCGGCCAGCTTTTCCAGCGAAGAATTCGCCGCCTGGTGGGCTGGAGGCGAGGAGATTCTAAAGTTCAACCGGGGCGTTCGTAAGTCCATAAAACTAATCACCACTCTAATCAGTTGTGGAGACAAACAACTCGAGGGTCATGCTGACTTGGCTGTTTTTCTCTCTTCCAATCAGGTGAATATATGCAAAAGGATGTGGACGTTCTGGAGATGCTGCAGCTGCAGAACAAATCGCACGAGGAGATCATCGAGTTCTCCACGCGAGGAGCCATCGAGGCGGCCAAGAAGATGCGCCGCCTGCAGGAGGAGCGTAATCCTGGCGGAACCGATTACTGGCCGTGGGTTTTTATTACTTATCTATACCAATTACTCTTTGGCTAAGTACTATCACCCTTTTTAGGAATCTATATGACCATCATGTGATGTGGGGTCTGGTTCCCGGCGGCAATCCCTTTGGCGTTATGTACGTGATGCTGGTGAAAGCTCTGCAGGCTCAATGCACTCCGGAGCAGTACGAGGACTTTGGCAAGCGGCTGGAACGCTTCGAGATTTGCGGCACCTATGCGCAAACAGAACTGGGTCATGGCACCTATCTGCGAGGTCTGGAAACCCGGGCTGATTTCGATCCCAAAACAGATGAATTTGTACTCAACACCCCGAAGATTTCCTCCTACAAGTTTTGGCCAGGAGGCTGTAAGTTTGCTTGAAGTATAATACTTTACTACATCCCTTTAAAAACGTATATTATCTCTACTTCTTTAGTGGGTCACAGTTCCAACTACTGCCTGGTGATGGCTCAACTGTATATAGACAACAAATCCAAGGGACCGCACATGTTCTTCATCCAGGTGCGCGATGAGGAGACCCACGAACCTCTGCCTGGCGTCCACATTGGTGACATTGGCAAGAAGATGGGCTTCATTGGCGTGAACAATGGCTTCCTGGGCCTGAAGAATGTGAGGATACCTCGTACCCGCATGCTGATGCGACATGCCCAGGTCAACGCCGATGGCTCCTACGTCAGTAGTCCCACCAATGTGCTGACCTACTTCGCCATGGTGCGCACGCGCTGTGTAATTGCCAAGAATAACGCCTTGATGTTGGCGGGAGCCTCCACCATTGCCACCAGATACTCGGCTGTGCGTCGCCAGAGTCCCATAAACCCCAAGTAGGTTACCAGAAAAGAAGTTGCAATTTATCCCTAACTAATCTTCGTTATTTTCAGGGAACGCGAGCCCCAGATCATCGATCACGTTACGCAGCAAATGAAACTCTTCCCCGAGATCGCCACCAGCTTGGCCTACCGGCTGTCCAGCGATTACCTGTGGAATCTGTACGATGTGACCATTGAGGATATAGAAAACGGCAGGTACGAGCGTCTGCCGGAGCTGCATTCCCTGTCCTGCGCCTTGAAAGTAACCTGCTCCATGGATTCCGCCGCTGGCGTGGAGAGATTGCGCCTGGCCTGTGGCGGTCACGGCTACCTCACCTCATCCAATATGAGCAACCTTTATGTGAATGCCACTGCAGCCTGCACTTATGAGGGGGAGAACACGGTACTGCTGCTGCAGATCGGTCGCTTCTTGATGAAAACCTGGCGAGCTGCCCTCAGTGGAGCTCCATTGCCGCCCACCGTTCGCTATCTAAGCGAGGTGCAGAAGAATCCGGAGTTTGGCAAGTGGACAGGTAGTTGGGAGAACATGGTGAAGGCCATGCAATACGCAGCCGCCAAGTAAGTTTGGATGTCCTTTATATTTCAGTTCAGCCCTTGATAACTCTTTATTTATTACAGTAAGATCCGCGTGGCTTTCAAGAGCCTTTCCAACCGTCTTTCTAGGGGCGAGACCGAGGAGAATGCTGCGAATCACACGGGCATAGAGTTCACCCAGGCAGCAGAGGTTGGCTAGCTGAAATGGCTTGGACTTTAAACCATTGAAATCTAAAAATCTCTATTTATTTTTTACCCCTTTAGCTTCATGGTCGTGCCTTCGTTTTTGGTTGCTTCACCGAGGCGGTGACGGGTCCGAAATCTAAGACTCGTTCAGCTGCTTTTAATCAAGTCCTGGAGAACCTCTTGGAACTCTACCTAGTCAAGGAGACACTCAACCAACTAAAATACCTGCTAATGGTGTGTTTGAGCTTTTAAAAAAATTATGGTTTGTTAAATTAATATTTCTGTATTTTACAGTTTATTGAGTTGACCGATACGGATCTCACCCGGCTGCAGGATCGCTTGGAAACTGTGCTTACCAAGCTGCGACCCGATGCTGTGGCCATTGTGGATGGCTTCGATTTCAGTGATCTCCAATTGAACTCAACTTTGGGCTCTTACGATGGCAATGCATATGAGCGCATTTTCGATGCGGCTCTTAAAAACCCAGTTAACCAGAAATCAGTGCCAAAGTCCTTCCACGAGATCCTGAAACCCTTCATGAAGTCCAACATCTAGTGCCTAGCACATCGTTTTATAAATCATTTTCATTATCTAAAGCCAAGCTTAATTTAATGTATATGTGTACCCCACTGTATTGGTGATTTGCGTGATTATAACCAGTTTTGTTATTATTTTTGTAATAAATACTCTTAAATAATTTGTCTCAACATATACCGCTCTTTTGCTGATAGGCATGATTATTTACTCTTGCTTAAGTTGTGCCGATCTCTTTTGAAAGCTTTCATGTGTACTTTGCCCCTCAAAAGTTTACTTTCTCACCGATCCATTCCACTTTCGCTCAGTCGTCACATTGAGCTCACAGCTGTTGGTTGGATCTAGTCTTGGATCTTTATTTATTTTATAATAGTTTTGGTTGTTATAGTCGCGGATCAATATAGTACAATGTCGCACATTAAGAACTTAATTCCGAACACGGTGAATCCCGATCTGCAGAAGGAACGCACAGGCGCCGAATTCAATGTGGAGGAGTTTTCAGCCTGGTGGCATGGTGGTCAGGACAAACTAAAGACCAAACGCGAGATGGGTAAATATTAAAGATATACGTCATTAGCGTCACACCGGTGTTCGTGACATGGCACCGGTCTTTGAAGCTTCTTTTTGGTCAATAAGAAAATCAAGGTCCAAAGAGTTAATCTATTGCCCGCAAAGTCCAAAAATAATTAAACATTGTTGTACAGCTGAATTAAAACTGTTGCTTATCAATAGTTAAAGGTAATGATAGTGGTCCCGGTGTTTACGATAACATGCAATTGCAACGCGATCAGCTTTCTTATCTTTCAAAAAGGTTCAGCGCCGCCTCCAACTGATAAGAAAGGAAATAGTCGAAATCTTGTAATTGTACCACAATTTAGTTTCATTCGATTTTTTGTTAATTTAACAAATCTATTTAATTTTAAAACATTACATTATAGTTAAGGAAGAGTTCCTGAGGCATGGAAATCAACTCAATTTAATGCTTATTTTTTTGAATTTTATTTTTAATACTGTTTTAATATTATTTTACAACTGTATACCTAATTATACGGGTGTTCACCTGATAATAATGTTTGATCATAAATTAATTAAAAATCCATTTTATTCCCTAACAAAATTTTTATTTTTATCCACAGAAAAAGCCATCTTCAGCGATCTGGAGGATGGCTATGGTCTTAACCACGAGTACATGTCCCACGAGGAGGTCTACAATTCGAGTGTGAAGAAGGTGGCTGAGGCAGCCATCAAACTGAAGGCTCTGCAGCAAAAGCTTAATCCTGGAGGCACTGATATTTGGCCGTAAGTTGGAATGCAAGATTGTTCCCAAGGTGTTCGGCTAATCTTATCTCTAATTGTTTGCAGCGGAGGGCTCTTCAATGCCCAAAGCTTTGGACTCTTCCCGGCTAATCACCCAGTGGCTACTCACATCACAATGTTTGTTGATGTGATCAAAGGTCAGGGCACTCCGGAACAGGTGGAGAAGTGGGGCAAGGCGGCGGCGAACTGCAACATTATAGGCACCTACGCCCAAACGGAGCTGGCCCATGGAACCAATGTCCGCGGATTGGCCACCCGGGCGGACTTTGATCCCAAGACGGATGAGTTTGTGCTGAATACACCCAACTTGGAGGCGTACAAGTGGTGGCCCGGCGGCTGTAAGTGGTTAAGACATAGGAAATCCCACTTTTCCAATTAATATCAACTATCTTCTTTCTTTCAGTGGGTCACACGGCCAATCATGCCATGGTGGTTGCCCAGTTGTATATCGCCGATGTCCATCATGGCATCCAAATGTTCATTGTGCCGGTGAGAGACGCTGATACCCATATGCCACTGCCGGGAATTGATATTGGGGAGATTGGCAAGAAACTGGGTATGGCGTCCGTGAACCAGGGCTTCCTGGGCATGAACCAAGTCCGGATTCCACGCACCAACATGCTGATGAAATTTGCCAAGGTGGAGCGCGATGGCACCTTCAAGGCGAGTCCGGCCTCTAGGCTCAACTACCTGACCATGGTGTACACGCGCTGCTTGATTGTTAACCAGAACTCCACGCTGCTCCTGGCGGCGGCCACAATAGCCACCAGGTACTCGGCGGTGCGACGACAGAGTCCCATTGAACCCAAGTGAGTTTTACCAAGTGTTCAGCTTATTAAGGGAAATGCCTAAATCCCTGTTAACCACAGCCAACCCGAGCCGCAGATCATTGATCATGTGACCCAGCGCCTGAAGCTCTTCCCGGAGATCGCCACCGGAATGGCTTACCACCTGGCCGCCGAGTACACATGGGAGATGTACGCCCAGACGGTGCAGGAGGCCAACAACGGCAAGTTTGATCGCCTGCCCGACATGCACGTCCTGTCCTGCGCCCTCAAGGTTCTCTGCACCACCGACGGATGCGCCGGCATCGAGAAACTCCGCCTGTCCACTGGAGGTCATGGTTACCTCACGGCAGCCAATTTGAGCAACATCTATGGCAATGCTGTGGCTGCCATCACCTACGAGGGCGAGAACACCGTGCTGCTGCTGCAAATTGGTCGCGCCCTGGTCAAGGCATGGTCTTCGTTTGTGGAAGGCAAACCTTTGTCCGCATCCTACGGTTACTTTGCCACCTCCATGCAGCTGAAGGAGTTCCCCAAGTGGGACGACTCCTGGCAGTGCATCATCAAGGCCTTGCAATACACGGCAGCACAGTGAGTTTGGCTTTAGATAAGTCTTCCAAGCAAAGATATATTTGTATTTACCTATAGAAAAACCCGCATTGCTTTCGAGAATCTGGCGGAACGCATGGTCAGTGGTCAATCGCAGGGTGTGGCGGCTAATAACACGGGAATCGAACTGACTCGTGCTGCTGAGGTAATTAACACTAATCTCTTTCAATATAAATTCGCTTAAATTGATATAATACATTTAGTTGAGAGAGAAATTGACAGATTTATGTGATACAGCAGTTTATTTATTTATTGTATTGGCTTAATTATGTGGACTTTAATTACCAATTGATTAAATCATATTGCAGCTTCATGGACGGCAGTTTGTGTGCCAGACATTCCTGGAACAAATCACAGGACCCAAGGCCCAAAAGCGTTCCCCCGCTTTAAACAAGGTTTTGGAGAACGTGCTGGAATTATTCCTGGTCCAGACTGTGCTTAATAACCTGAATGAAATTTTGAGAGTAAGTTTAGCCTTCTATTCTTAATAATATATTTTAATAAGCTATATCCTTTCACCAGTTCATCAACCTCACCGATGCGGATCTGAGATCGCTTCAGAAACGCCTGGAGGTTTCGCTGGAGAACTTTCGACCCAATGCCGTGGCCATCTGCGATGGCTTCGAGTTCCACGACCGTGTTTTAAACTCTGTGCTGGGCAGCTACGATGGCAATGTGTACCCCAGACTCTTCGATTCGGCCAAGCGCAGCACCATGAACCAAAAGCCCGTCCAAACATCCTTTGAGACCCACCTGAAGCCCCTGATGAAGGCTAATCTGTAGGGCAAACACAGCCAATTCGTGTGCACATAAACTAATATTGATAAAGAAAAACGACATGTTTTGTTTAAATTAGTTTTATACCAGTTTTATTTAGCAAATCAAAACCAATTTCTCAGTACATTCAGCGCATTTTAAAAAACTAACAAACTAAACGCTTACAAAGTAGCAAAAAAAGTTGATGTAAAATTTGACAAAACGTACTATGGGTCGAGAGTAGAACAAACATAGTACTTGTACATATCAAAAAAGTTGCAGTTGCGTTTTTTACAGTGTAGAAAAAGTTGTGTTCAGAAAAATGTTTTTGCTTAGTTCCTGTTGCTGTTGTTGCTGTTCATGTTTGTTCTGTGTGTTTTTTGTGTGAGTTTCAGTTGGAATTCCGGAAGGGGGGAAAATAGTTTTCTGTTCTGATGATGATGTTCGAAATTTCCCTTTGTTATATGCTCTGCTGTCGAAGTAGTAGTATGTTTAATTCATTATTTATGCATTATACACAGTTACACACACAATTGATTTATGTTGCTAATTATATACTTATATGTTATATATTAGTTTTCGTTTCGTTTCTTTTCATAACTTTCTTTTCGCAATGAAAATATGGCATGAGAGTTGGAGAGAGAATATTGGTTGACTAACAATTAAACAAGTATTGCAGCTAATTGGTTGGTTGTGTTTTTAGGGGCGTGGTTGGTATAGGTGAGTATAACATTTGTGGCTGGACTGCTTCCGTTTTAATTTAATTGAATTCGCCTTGTAAACTTAACAATTAATTTTCACTATTGCATGGTCGTGGTTATGATCTGTGGCTGTTGTTGTTCTTGTTCTGGTTTTTTGTTTTTCAACGTTTGTAATTCGCTTTTGTATTTTGCTTGCAAAACTAAACAATTGTCATTGACAGCGAACGTAAAAACTAAATAAATGCACAATAATTAATGCGTAATCCGATTTTGATTCTTAGCCATGGAAGAAGCAGTTGAGTCAAGCGAAGGAAATCTCGAATAACTCTAAAACCCAAGTGGAAACCTAAATTAATGTACAATTGCTTTCTCGTTGACGATACATGTATCTCATTTCATTCTGAATTCTTGTTCATGTTCCAATTTCAATTTTAACTTCGTTTCAATAAATATTCGTGGTTTTGTGTTTTCTAGAAAAAAGTAGAAATAGTTGTTTTCATTTCAATTCTGTTGGTTTTTAGTTGCCAGGAAGGTTCACAGTGTTCATAAATCTGTTTTTTGCTTCATTTAGTATTTTTCGTTTTTTCTTTTCTTTTTTTTTTGTTTGTTTTAGGAATTACACTAATAATTACATAGTTTTGCTTATGTATAACTTAAAAACATTTATGCATCGATTTCCGTTTGTTATGTGCCGCACAATTCATAATTATAATTATTTTCATTGGACTTCGTTTGACAATTGATTGTTGAAATAAAGAGTTAAGTGTGTGAGTGTGTGGGGGGTGGTTCGACGAGGGGGTCTATCGAGAGTTGAGAGATAATCGTGATGTATCCAATTCGCTTTCGTTATTCAGCTAACATATATAATCCATACATTTATATTCAATATGCACGAAAGTTGCCTTTACATCTATGTAGTTGGATGCGCGTGTGTGTGTGTATTATCATAGTTATTATTCAATTTCCTCCTTCTCCTTCTGCTTTTGCTCTACATACTCGTAATTCATAATTAATTCGCTTAATTTTGCCCGCCCTTATATTGGTTTCACTATTTATATATAATATATTATTTATATATTAAATTTCGCATGATTTATTTGCAATTATATTTGATATTTTTGTTGGTTTTTGTCGCTTAAAACTTACTTAATTAGAAAAGTCGCATACACACACCCACACACGCAGAGAGAGTCGGTTATCTGTCTGTGTGTGTGTCTATTTTGCATTAACTTACAGGTAAGTTTTCAATTTTTTTTGTTTCATTTCTTATTATTTGCCGATTTGTTGTTTATATTTTTTTTATTTTTATTTTAGTTTTAATTACCCCTCACGAAAAATTGTGTGTGTTTTGAAAATGTTTAAAATTTTCAATTTTTTGTGTTAGTTTTGTAGCTGCTTCTGCTGCGGATGAACTATCCTTGTTTTAGTGGACTGCTGATGATGATGCACCCCCACTCCGCACAGTGTATTCAGTTGAGCCTGACCAAACCCAGTCGCTCCGCCTCCGTCCAGTTTTCCGCACTATCGTCCTCACAGTTTGTTCCTGCACTTGTGGTCAACTTAATACCTGCGCGCCGTGCCATTATCTCAGGCGTAAAACTCGCGATTATTCGCGTTTTTCGCATACGAATTGTTGGCCGGCGATCGCTTGGGTTCGTCCAGCGCATAGGATCCCTCGTCCTTTTTCCTCATGCGGTACACGATGAACATGACCACAAGTATGGCGCAGAGCAGGCCAACGACGGCACCGCCAATAACAGCTGCGGAATAGAGAATTATATTAGTTATCTTTTCATGTAATACGGCGGTGTAACATTTTAAGACTTTGACTTTATCCTCTTATTTTTACAGATTAATGACTTGAGAAGAATCACTGACTTCCTAGTAATTTTAGCCTTTGAAATGCAACATCTGAAAAATATCACTCATACGCCAGATGTACAAACATGGTTTTTTGTTTTAAAGATAAATCAATTTAAAGTGTTCAATATTCTAAAGAAATGTCTGCAAACCTCACAATGCATTCAGGTGATTTTTGTAAAAGCTTTCTAATCACAACATTATTTAATTGGACTTACTAATTTGTGTAATGACATATTTTTATAAACTTATTATTATGAACAAATAACATCAATTAAGATTTTACTCTTTACCAATTTCACACTTTGGCAGTCATAACAGAGTTTAAGAAATGTTCAAAAATATAGTTTAAACATTATGGCGTATGAGTGATATTTGTGGAAGCTTAGCAAAGACAATTATTTAAGGCCAAGGAATTGTAGTTGTTGAAAATTCTCAGCTTTTACAGATCCACCCTATATAGGCTTACTCACCAGCCAGAATTCCGGGCTGCGAGAAGAAGCTCGACGTGCGATCGTCCTCGCTCATGATGACCACTTCGTTGCCGTTGGGCCTGTGATCGATGCCCTTCGTGTCGGAGGGCTGGCTATTAACGTTCGTGTTGGGGTCCAATTCGTGCACGTTGCTGCCACCTGCGCCCGCTGTTCCGGAGAGAAAGAGAAGGCATTACGGCGATGAGAAAGAGATGCAGTGCGGAAAGGTCCATTTATGCCCATGACGTGCAAGCAAAATCAAACAAAACAGAGAGTGAGACAGAGAGTTGCTGTTTTGTTTTGTTTCGTGTTGTGGGTATTCAATTAAATTGATTCGAGTGTCAATATTGGTTTTAGTGAGCGTATACGATTGTGTAAACATGTGTGAATGTTGTGCGTGTGTTAATGAGCTGTTATGCAGTATTTACAAGGCTTAATGTTAGTCGAGCAGCGTTGACTACATAGAGGGAGACTTACTTTAAAGGCTAGTTCTTATGTGGTATGTTCCGAATATAACTATAAACTAACAACGATACCAAAAACAAATCTCTCTAAATTCGAAATTAAATTTATCATAGTGTACTTTAAGTCACTAAACTAGATAACCTAGAACTTGCTTTTAATTTATCGTTCCTTACATCCAGTCAAAATATCCTGACACCTAATTTCACGGTAATGAGCAGGGATTTCCAGAAAAGTTTGATGCGAAATGAAAAAAGTTTCTCAGCTACGAATGCAAATTGTGACAAATTTCGCTTGGAATTTTCAAGGGCTGACTTAAGCTTCCCCTCAAACAAGTGCAATTAGATTGCTTTCTGGAAATCGACAGGCAGGCGAAAATTTAATGCCAGTTGCCTGTCAAACCAGCCGAGTTTAAATTTTATTTAATTGGCATGGCTGCCGTTCGTCTTACCCACAATTTCGGCACAAGTGTGGGCTTCTTATTTTTAGCAGAGCCATTGTTTGATCCCCGTGCCCCCCATTCAGAATCCCCAAACAGCTTAAGACAAACAAATTGCTTGTTTAGCCCTTGTACTCGCACACACACATGGCTGCTCCCTTGAGGGGCGGCATATTAATTAGGTAATGCCCACGAGGGCTCCTTGAATTGGCCCTCGCGAATAAACCCCTCGAATTGATTTTATATGCGTTTTGCAAACTGGGGGAAATCAAGGCGAGATACAGAGAGCAATAGAGTGAGAGTTCTTTGAGTCGGTGCTATACGAAGGAGCTATAAATATTTGCCTTTCAATGCGATTTCCAAGAGCAAATGGATTTTCCAGCTGCTGGCTTTGAGATTGCTTTGCTGTCTTGCCATTCCATTGATTGTCTGCTTGTCTTGAAGACTTTTTGTTTGTTCAGAACCAATAAAGGTGCCTACATCATGTGTGCGTCTGTATTTGATGGGAAAATGCACTTTGTTGCCCCTGATGGGGTTGTGGGTTGGAGATTTGGATTTGGGGAGGGAACACTACGACGTTGGGTTTGATTTCGTGCTTCGGTGTTTCGTGTGGTCAGCTGTGCGCAATTATGGCAAAATTATTGCCTGCGCTGTTTGTCACCCGCGCAAGCCGACCATATTTATTGTGTTTGTGCTCTCAGTCGAGGCGTGGCAATTGCAAAGCAAACATCAAAGCCATAAACCCGCAGAACACACAGAGCCCATACCCTCGATTGCCATTAGGCTGTGTTTCAGTTTCTGACGGTGCACTGCTCGCTTTGTTGGGACCATAAACAGTGATTGTGAGAGACGTACACGGAAATAAATTTTGAAATACCGTGAGATTTTTAGAAATATTTACTAAAATGAAATTTCTAGAGGTTTGAAAAAACACCTCTAAAACTATTAATAAAAAAGCTAATACCATTTTTAAAGTGCTGGCACTGAATATTTGAAATATTGCATTTAGAGCTCCGAGAAATTTAATGAACATTTATAATTTAATACTTTTATATCTTATTTTGTAAGACTTTGGGTGCCGTAGAAATAAACAGTTTTTAAATCGCTTATAAAGACGTCTAAAAGTATGCAATAAAAAAAGGACGTCGGTCCTCCCGATTTTATATATGTTGTTGCATATTCAAAATACACCTTTGTTGGTGAATTCAAACCCCTATTGATTTTTAGAGGACTCTCACCTTCTCCCACACTATTTCTCCAAGTGAACCCACTCACAAAGCCGTATCAGGAGCAACAATGCCTCAAGTAAGCGGCTACAGTTACGCGCCAAAGACAGGAACAGGAGCCTTGCCATAGCCAGGACTCGGTGATTTTTCATTTGAAGTGCCTGCGAAGCACACCAAGTGTTTTTCCCCAGCAACAAAGCACCAAATCACTGCGCGGCTTAGTGCGATTTTCCAGGCGATTTTCATTCACCAAATCGCAGGAGGCGGAACTGTCGGGACAGTGTTAATGGAACTTTATGCCTAGGGCAAGAATTGCAGAATGTCTGGGCGTAGTACCCTCCCAACCCTCGACTCCTTGATGGAGTGCTTTCCCTGTTGCAGCTTAATCGATTGTTTGGATTTGGCTTTGTCTTTGCCTCTGTTCTTTGTTTGTTCACCGTTTGTCACGATAAAAGCTTTTAAACTATCCTTAAAATATTCGCCTTAATCTAGCTTAAGGTTAAAACTAAACACTTAAACGATGAATGAACGACAAAAACAGAGTGAACGGAAATGATTCAATGAATTGGTTATGAATGTGTTGGAATTATGTGGTAAATTGGACATTCCTTGTGGACAAAAACAAGAACGTGGGACAGACTGAGACCGAGAGAATTTGCAGACCACCCGCAGCGTTGACCGTAGACTTTTCAGAGCGCGACAAATAAACCAAATCATATATGTAAAACACACACCAAATGTGAAACTTAATTTGACTAACAAATACTTGAAATTTAAGGTACTTAAAGTGCACACAGGGAGACTACTCAAAAAAAGCAAAGCAAGTATACATAAATGCAAACCAAACTACTTAATATAAGCAAAGCAAATTTACACCGGGAAAAGTTTTAGGAAATCTAGTTTATATTTTAATGATTTACTTTTTTTCTGTGTAAAGTGCAATGACACAACATAAAAAGAAAGCGGAGGGCACCAAGCAAAGCCATAAAGTACTTAGCCAGCAAACAATAAGAGTTAAGATACATCTTTTTTTTTACAGACTAGTGCAGGGACTAAAAAGACAACCAAATGATGTGCAATACAAAAATAAACAGAGGGAATTAAAAGGTATGGTAAAGGTATAACGAAACACAAAACTATATAAATAAATATAAACCAAGTAAAATAATGAAAGGTAAAAAAGTAAAATGGTGAACATAAAAACCACTGACGTTCGCGCTCTGTAACATCTCCATCGTTGCCACCGATTCGCGGACCACCCAAATCGCTATCCACACTTTCATCCTCATCGGCGCCATCCACATCGATTTCATCCTTGGTGAAAACTCCATCGTCACCATCGGAGTGTTGGGGAACATCTGGCTTATCATGTCCAGATTCGGGACCATCGATATCAATTTCTTTCTCCTCCTCCTTGCTGCCATACTCATAGTCATCCTCATCGTCATCGATATTGGGATCATGACCATCACCGCTGGCCTCCGAGTCGAGATCCTTGTCAAAGGGCGGGAATATGGGCTGATTTGGTTGTGAGGGTATGGGGATCGTCGAAGCTGTTGTTGTCGTTGTGGTGTTAGAAATGGGATAGGATTCTTCGGTTGTAGAGGTTGTTGGCACTGCCGTTGTGGTGGTCGTTGTCGTTGTGGTGGTTGTTGTGGTCGTGGGCGTTGGTGTCGAAGAACTCGATGTTGTTGAGATTGTGGATGAGGTTTGTGTTGGTGTATGAGCTGCTGGATATAGAGATGCGATTGTTGTTGTTGGTGTTGTTGTGTATGATCTTGGGATGGGATTTTCGTTAATGCTAATGTTACTACTAACTAAATTCGATCGATCCTTAGCTAATACTTGATCTATATCTGATGCTGAAACTGTTTCTGTATCTGTTTCTGTTGTTGAAAATTGTAGTGGTGGTGGTGGTGTGTTTGTTGTTGAAATTGAAGGAATAGGAGTAGAAAAAGTAGTAATGATTGTTGTGGCGGGTGTGGAAAGTACACCAACATTTACATGACTAGCTTGATCTTTACCGATTGAGTTATGGCCACCGATCTCACTACCACTGCCACTGATGATGCCGTTCTGGCTGTTGATGTTGATATTATTATTATTCGCTGTGGTGCTACTACCAATGATTGTGCCACTATTCGTTTGATGGTTATTATTGGGATTGAGATTGATATTCTGGCTGTTGTCGATCTGATTGTGATTATTATTGTTGTTGAATCTACTCGAGATGAGGTCGCTGTTGCTGTTCTTGCTGTTCTTGCCGAAGTTCTCGTTCGAGTTATGCTTACTGTTTATGCCGGCGTTGCCGCCCTGCGAGACGCGCGTGTTGTGCGAACTGTGCGAGTGCTGGTCGGGTTCGGCGTCCTCGTCATCGGGTCCAAAGCCGGAGCCAGAATAGTCCGGTTCTTTCTCTAGATCTTCGTGTATCTGCAAAGGGAATAAGTGGGTGAACAACAAATCAATTGGGATCTTAAAAGATTTCTTTTATAAATTTTGTGTATGAAAAACCTGATACCCATTCCCTTATCTTAATAGAAAGTATTATAAATAAATATTTATACCCGTTACTCGTAGAGTAAAAGGGTATATTAGATTCGTGCAAAAGTATGTAACAGGTAGAAGGAAGCGTTTCCGACCCTATAAACTATATATATTCTTGATCAGGATCACTAGCCGAGTCGATCTAGCCATGTCCGTCTGTCCGTCTGTCCGTCTGTCTGTCTGTATGAACGCTGAGATCTCGGAAACTATAAAAGCTAGAAGATTGACATTTTGCATGCAGATTCTAGGAGTTCCTACGCAGCGCAAGTTTGTTTCAAAAGGATGCCACGCCCCCTCTAACGCCCACAATCGCTTATATACGATTTTAAAAATTTCAATATTTTGGAAAAGTAAAAATGCAGTTTTGTTGTGTTTATCAATACCTATCGAAATGTAGAAGAAATTTTTTAAATCGGACCATTCGTTAAAAAGTTACGGCGGATTTTATCTCGATCTCCTTCGCACTTCCTTTAGCTGAGTAACGGGTATCTGATAGTCGGGGCACCCGACTATAGCGTTCTCTCTTGTTTAATTTTAAAATGTTTGGTACTTCTTAAGATATCAAAGGATTTTTTTTCATTTCCAAAAGTTTAAATGGAGGGATAAAAAGGAAGGCTTGGGCTTTCAAAAGGGTTCTAAATAAATTATTTACAATTAGCTAAGGAAATGTTAAAAGGACATTTTAGGGAAAAGAAACGATCTAGAAACAATAGTTTTTCCCAAATATTTTCCCAAGTGTCGCCTAAAACGAATAAAGGACATTTCTCCATAACAAAGCACAAGCTTTGTGAGCAACAAATGGCAGCTATTTTCCATTGAAAATTATGCACGGCCCCCGTGTGTCCTTGAGCTGTTCCACATTCGCGTTTGAGATGCTAAGAGGGATCGAGACCCTTGGGTCATGTCCTCCGGCCTTCGGGGAGCACATTTCATGGGGTCCATTGTCTGACTGAGCTTCGACTGTGACGGGTTTTTGGGGTTTATTCGCACCAAAACAAGTACAAAACCCACCCGCAATCGGGGGTGTAGTAGGTGGAATGGGTAGGGTAAAAGGAGGCAGAGAGTATTACCACAACAACTGTGACCAGAACCAATTGGCCCAGAGACCATAGACCAGAGACCAGAGACAGCCGTGGGCCAACCGAATGACAGAGACAATTCCCGGCCGCAGACGCCAGCTCTTGTTTATTGACTTTAATTTCGTTTGTCGCTTGTTCGGGCCATAAAAACAGTGGCCAAAACAGTGGAAACAGTGGCCCACCAAGGAGGCAGAGGCAGCAAACTTAATTGAATTTCTTCACGCGTTATGAAATGTCCTATAAAAGACTTGGCAGTTGGCCAGCTAGCGACACTTGTTGACCCCACTCCCTCTCCCCCAATCCCCTGATTTTAGGCCACATGCATTATATGTGTATAGACAAGGCCGACAACAACGACTGTGAGTAATGGGGGAATGAGCTCAAATTGAGTGATTGTGGCCGCGAGGGGAAGCAATTAATTTTCCAACGAAAGAGAATTGAAATTTGTTTTTATTCGGGATCAAATTAAATTTTGCCAGCAGAGCTTGGAGCATTTGTTTCCATTTGTTTCATTGAGTCGAGGATTTACAAACAATTTGTGTCCCCGTTCCACGGCATTCATAACGGAAAATTGAAAGCACACAAGCCGGGGGGCTGCCTTTTCAACAAATACGGGAATTTAAAAACAAATGTGAAATCTCAGTTGGGATGAAAGTCAGGACTGTGAGGATACCTCTTGGTGACTTTGTATTTAACAAAAGAGGGAATGTTCTGAGCGTTTATATTCTTAAATCCCTTAACGCTTGCAATATCATTCTAGAATGGTATTAATTAAATTCCCTTTCTGACGTAAGCAGGATACAATTTGAATGCAAATTGGATGGGTAAAATAATTGTTCTGCATCCTGTCTTATCCACAAATATACTCAAGCTACCCAAAGAAAAAATAATATAAAAGTAAGGCACACAAACATTATCCCTGCAAATACATATCCATTTTCGCTACTGTTTTTGTTGTTTGCCTTCATATCATATCCTCTCGTTTCGTTTGAAATTTAATTAAAATATTTTTGCATTGCGTATACGCAGCGTTGCGCACCGAAACTGAAACCCACACCGCAGCATATATCATCCTGTGCAGGACAGTTGGCAAGCAAACGCTTGACCAAAAGCACTCATAAATATCCCTCCAGCGAAAGAAGGGCGGTATTGTGGGTGGTGGTCGGAGATTTGGAGGATGGTGACTAGGGGATGGGGGATAGGGGATAGGAGCACCCCAAGTGGCCATAAAGCATGCGGAAAAAAACAAAAATAAAAGAGAAAAAACTGTTTGTCCCGGCTCTTGCAACACTTTCGTTCTGGCCGAGTTTATTTAAAGCGTTTTGTGCGCTCCTCTTCGCCTTTCCGCCTGCCCCGCTGTTTTGCCGCTTGATTTATGCAGCAATTAGCAGTCAGCAAAATGGGGCAAGGCAGTAAGTAGAAAGTGGCGAGTGGCAGCCTCTCACATGACTTAGCACGGGGGCACACGGGTGTCCACCATGTTTTTGGGTCTTAAATGAAGTCCTGCTACTGCAGAACTTGCAGTTTCATGAGTTGCAAGTTGCTAGCCCAGCCGCAATTTAAACGATTATGGGTAAAAACTTTTCCCCATGGAATATTTTGGGGCAGAAGATCGATCGGGACCTGCGGCAACAACTGTGGCCAACCGAAACGACCGAGAGTGCAATGTGAATTTATGCAATAAATTGCTTTGTTAATAAAACACGAACCAAGAAGCGGGCGATGGTGATGCAAAAGCCAGAAAGCAGATGCTGCATCGTCCTGAGGTGCAATGTGGGTCATGCATGAATTTAAATGATGTCATTTCATCGGGAGCCGGGACTCGGGACCTGGGATCTGGGACCTAGGACCACCTGCTGCCAGTCAGGCACCGAAAATGGGAATGGGATATATATGCTTTGCCACTGCATGCCGCATTAAATTTGCATTTGCTGGCAGCTGATGCTTCTGCTGCTGCCGCTGCCGCTGCTACTGCAGCTTCTTTGGCTGGCCAACATGGCGTATGCTTGACACCATTTTGATATATGACAGCGAAAATGAAATATTCCAGCCAGCTGGGTAAGAGCATTTCCATAAAACGGAAATTGTTTCAATAAAGCGTTTAAAAACTTCTTTCGAGGGGAAGGAGCAAAAAAACTTGGCAAGCAAAATGAGAAAATAAGACAAGGAGCAACCTTCGTAATGAGCGAAAATTGTGTCAGTCAAACTATAAGAAGAAATGGGGGGAAAACTATAAAGGAATGGGGCGGAAAACAGAAGAGTGAAGTTAAGAATGGTTGCAAGGCACGTTTCATGCATAAACAACAGCTCAAGTGCAGCTGTTTTTTCCCCTTTCATTCTCTTATATTTTTTGACTTTTTACAAACATCACAGAAGTTGTCATGGCCCTGAGGAAAAAAGTTTTTTCACCCACACTCTGAGCCTCATTCAGCATAATTAATGCCTGAAATTTCATTTCAAGTGCTGTGCCATCATAAAACAGACTCAAGAACAATCTACCCACACACAACACACACATGCCATCAGCATCCTTTCTCTTTATCTCCAAACAAATCCCGGCTAAATCCTGTACGACTTTATTTTGTAAATAAATTTCGAAACTAAATACTAAATACAAGGAGCTTTCAATTTACCGAGCAACATCAGAAGCTGTTTTGGCCAACTTTGTGTTCTGGCTCAGAAAAAGTTCTGCTAACGAGTAAATTGTCGATTTGACAATGTTCGCAAAGTGCGTGACTTGAGTTGACCGAGTTGCTAGAAACATTTGGAAAAATCCTTGGCCAGGGCAAGTTTTGGTTTTTAGTGTCGGTTCGGGGTTTTCCACTTTGACCCACTTTCCTCCTTTCCTTCTACCTCCCCCTTCAAATTTTACGTAACCACTTTGACCCTGTGTGTTCTCAGAAAATTTCGCATTGTGAATGCTACATTTCGGGAGCCAAGTGGCCTGCTAAACATTTGCATGGGTATTTCTGCAGGAAATGGCCAAAGTTTGTCTGGCCGGGGAAAAGGGAGGGTAAGGAAACAAACCGCAATCCCAGGAAAATTGATAGCCCTAGCCAATTCCTGAATTCGTTCTCGGCTTTGTTTTTTCAGCATTGGCAGCATTGCTCAATAATTGCTCCGAGTGGAATCTCTGGGGGGAGTCCTAATTTATTTACATGCACTTGCAACTTTGGCCTACGGGGAGGAGGAAACGAGAGAGAAAAGCCGACTCAGCTCAACTCCGGGGGAAACTCAATTTTCCAGCTGGAAGATAACTTACGGCTTTATTTAGACAACGAAATTGAAAATTCGTTTCGTTACTCTTTTGTTTTCCTCTCTTTCCTCACTTTTTTTCCAGTTCCCAGGCTCCCTTCCGAGCGGCAAGAACTTTTTCTAAATATATATATATAGATAGACAAGTTCTGAGCTACTTGGTACTTTATTTTCATTTCTATTTTCCCCTCTACTCGCTTATTATTTTGCAATTGCCCATTTACATTTAGATGGGGAGCAAGAGCATATAATCCAATGAACAGTCGAAAAAGGGTTCCTTAAACTACAGAAAAACTCGTTAGCACCCACACTCGTGTGCTTTTGCATATTCAATGCCGAGATAAAATAACAATTTCTGATCTGTCATTACAGGATTTTCATACACAAGCCCCTTCGAAATTATAAGTCTTCTAAACTGACTTAAAATTAAAGGTTTAACTTGGTATTATTTACATACAAAAGAATAGAACAGATAAATATGGACAATTTGTATGTAAATAATTTAAAGATGGTAATTTCCTTTCTTTTTATACCGTTTTTTACTGTGTTTCT